TATATATATATATATATATATATATATATATATGCTTTTGATGGTGATTATTTGGAACAAGTATATGATCACACAATATATATTATTCAGCAACAGGCTTTAAAGTGAAAAAGTAGGAACTAACTTGTTCTTTCTCATAATATTCCAAGGTACAGGTAGGCCAGGGATTTAGCTCAGTGGCACTGTGCCTGCCTCGAAAGCACAAGGTCCTGAGTTCTATTCCCGGTACCAAACAAACAAACAAAAACCAACATATAGGTATGCTACTACTTAGCCAATGAGTCTCATACTGAAGGGCATTCAGGGCTTTTGGGTTTTATGGGCTTTTTCTTCCTCACTGTGAACAATGCTGCAAGAAGTTTTCCTGTGCTTATTATGTCTTTACATACCCAGCTGCACATCTAACCTATACAATGTCTTTATGTTCATTTGCCTGTATAAGTAAATTAATAAACTAATTACTACAAGATTATTGATCACTTTGTCTGCATTTCTAATTATTTTCTAAAAGGACAGAGTGGGGGGAGTTACATGTTCTTTGTTGAGGAAGTGGTGTCATTCCTACATTTGGGTGTATCTGGAAATTACTGACTGGTGCAAGAGTAAAACCAGGTGAATTACCTACCCTGTGTTCTCCAGGAGTGCACGGGCAATGCCCCAGGGGACAACAAATAGCACAGGGAAGGCTGTGGAGGAAGGACAGGAATATAATTAGGAGAAGGCTGGTCAAACATGCCTGCCTCCTGCCCCAGCCTGATGGGGCCCAGAACAGCTGGTGAAACCTTATAAAAACCCAAATATAGAATCATGAAGTGTGAGAGCTGGAGAGAGCTAAGGCAGCCCTGGATCATCCCTTCCTTTACTATCAGAGAAACCAGCACCCAGAGAAGAGTTTAGATTTCAGTGTGGAGTAAATCTAAGGACATTAACCGAAATCTCCTGAATCACGGACCTAGGTTATTTTGGCTGAATCCTGCAGCATCAAATTCTCCAAGGGTTTGTGGAGATAGGAGTTCTACATCTAGATAGTCAAAAACATCACCCTGAATACTTGGTTTTATAGAATGAATGTTATATTCTCAAATTTACATATTGAAGTTCTACTCCCAAAGTAATAGTATTTGGGGGTGAGGCCTTTGGAGACAATCAAGAATAGATAAGTTCATAAGGATGTCATCTTCATGATGGGCTTAATGCCTTTATAAAAGAAACCAGGGAGCAATCTCTCTCTCTCTCTCTCTCTCTCTCTCTCTCTCTCTCTCTTCCTCTCTTTTCCTCCCCCCTTTCTTTCTCTCTTTCTCTCTCTCTCTCCCTCCCTCTCTGTCCTTGCCACCCCCATATTTTCTGCAAGAAGCCAACTGTCTGCAAGCCAGGAAGAGATTCCTCGTGAGAACACATTCAGGTGGGATTTCCTGGCCTCCAGAAGCATGAGAAATCAATGTCTGTTGTTTAAGCCACACCAGTATTTCGTTATGACACGGTGACATACCTAATGAAGTTGGAAACAGTGTGTTGTCATCTGATGCCACCAAGGACTTTTTTTTTTTCTTTATTGGGGATCAAACTCAGGACCTTGCACTTGCAAGGCAGGCATGGCGCCACTGAGTACACTTCTCTTCAGAGTCTCTTATCATCAAGGAATTATCTGTCCCAGAAATTGCCCTCCAGTTAGATTCCCAACTAACCAAAAACTCTGTAGGGCTCCCATGTTCTGATGATTCCCCAGGAGAGGAGGCTAGGAAGTCATGTCACTCACCCCAACCCACAACCAGGTATCTGGGCCACAGCCGTCTTTCAGGAAGCACTGTGGGCTCCAGCAGTGCATGGAGGTAAAGGCCTTCGACCAAGAGCCACAAGTGGTTGGCCCCCACGAAGTAGTGCAGCAGGACTTGGACAGAGCGGCAGGAGGTGGACACCTATGGGGCAGAAAACCAGAAGATGAGCCCTGGCTTTCCTAGCACCTGGACCCTGAGTGGACAGAGAAAGACCTCATGAGGCATAAGCCCTTCCCTGTCCTCCCTATCCCTTTCTGATCATCTCAGAGATGTTGGTAGTAATATAAAATGTTAACCATCTATGAAAAAACAACAGCCAATATCATAGTAAATAGTCAAAACCTGAAAACCTACACACTAAAATCAGGAACAAGACAAGGATATCCACTATCACCACTCCTGTTGAATATAGTTCTAGAAACACTAGCCACAGCAATTAGACAAGAGAAAGAAAGAAAAGGAGTAAAGATAGGAAAGGAAGAAGTCCAACTGTCGCTATCTGCAGATGAAATATACTCTGTATAGAAGACTCCAAGAACTCCACCAGAAGTCTTCTAGACTTAATACCAAATTCAGTAAAGTAGCTGGATACAAGGTCAACACACAAAAATCAATAGCTTTCCTGTGTATGAACAACAGACTCAGTGAGAGAGAAATGGGGCAATAGCATCCAAAAAATTGAAATACCTAGGCATCAACCCAACAGAAGAAATCAACAACCTCTGCTCTGAAAACTATAGCCCTCTGAAAAAAAGATTGAAGAGGATATCAGACAATGGAAAGACATCTCTTGCTCCTGGGTAGGAAGAATCAACATAGTGAAAATGGCCAAACTTCCAAAATTGCTATATATAGTCAATGCAATCCCAATTGAAATCCCGGCAGCATACTTCACAGACCTTGAGAAAACAATCCAAAAATTCATTTGGAACAAGAAGAGACCTAGGATAACAAAAGCTATTCTAGGCAACAAAGACAAGGTAGGGGGTATTACACTCCCCAGCTTGAAACTATACTACAAAGCTATTGTGATAAAACAGCATGGTACTAGCAAAGAAACACACACTAGGACCTGTGGAACATATTAGAAGATATAGAAACACCTCCAGACACACTCGGCCACCTCATCTTCGACAAAGGGCAAACAGCCTCACTGGAGGAAAGATAACCTCTTTTATAAATGGTGCTGGAAAAACTGGGTTTCAACTTGCCAAAGATTAAAGCTAGATCTATATCTCTCACTAAACTATATGCACTAAACTAAAATTAAAATGCATTAAAGATCTAAATATTAAAACAGAAACACTAAATCAGCTAGAAGAGAGGTTAGGTAGAACTCTTGAAGACATTGGTATAGGAAAAGATTTTATGAACAAATCCTCAGTTACCCATGAACTAGCACAAATAACCAACAAGTGGGATTCCATCTTTTAAAAAAGCTTCTGCACAGCAAGAGAAACCACCAACAGTGTGAAGAGACAACCCACAATGTGGGGAAAATATTTACCAGCTGTTCCTCAGACAAAGGTCTACTGTCTAGAATATATAAAGACCTTTAAAACATCAGACCTCCGAAATTTAAAGACCCAATACAAAAGTGGGCATCTAAACTGAACAGACATTTCTCAGGCAAAGAGGTGCAAATAAACATATGAAAAAATGTTCAACATCACTGGTCATTTGAGAGATGCAAATGAAAATAACACTGAGATTTCATCTCACTCCAGAAAGAATGGCTGCTATCATGAAATCAACCAATAACAAATGCTGGTGGGGCTGTGGGGAAAGAGGAACCCTGCTCCACTCGTGATGGGAGTGTAGACTGGTGCAAGCACTGTGGAAATCAGCATGCAGACACCTCAAAGAACTAGAATTGAAAGTCCCATTTGACCCAGCTATTCCCCTGCTGGGTATCTGCCACAAATAATTAAAAAAAGAACCATACCACAGTAATATATGTGCACCCATGTTCATAGCAGCACAATTTGTAATAGGTAAAATTTGGAAGCAGCCCAATTGCCCATCAAGGGGATACTGGATAAAGAAAATGTGTTGGGTTTTTAAAAATAAAATTCAGTACTACTTAGCCATAAAGAATGAGAAACTAGAAATATTTATAACTAAATGGATGCACATTGAGGCAATACTCTTTTTTTTTCTCTCATTGAGTGTATTGCTACATTTTAGGTACACAGTACAGTTACGTTCATCACTGGGATCTTGTACCTTTACATGACAGGTCTTGGTTCTCATTTTTTCCCCTTGTCCCTGCCCTCCCTTCACCCCCTCCTCCCCTCCCCATTTACAAACAGTTTATTTCCATTTTTTCATTTTCTCCTATTTTTCTTTTCCCTTATTACCTTTCCCCTACCCTTCCCACTTTCCCTACACCTTTAGCCCTTTTCTTCCTATTTCACATTGTCAATTATATTATTAGGGAGGCAATACTCTTAAGTGAAATAAATAGGGCACATAAGTATAAATACTGAATAATTTCTCTAGTGTGAGAAACTGAAAATGTAAATAAGGACTAAAAGGTATAATAGATAATGTGAAATAGGAAGTGGGAGGGGTAGGGGAAAAGAAAGAAGGGAATGGAATTAATATGAGAAAAATAAAAAATGGAAGCAAAGTTTTTGTAGATAGGGAGGGGTGGAGAGGTTGATGGGAGGGCAGGGAAACGAGGAAAAAATAAGACCCAAGATGGATTATGTAAAGGTGTAAATTTCCTATGATGAATGTCATTATGTTGTGTACCTTAAATGTACCAATAAAATTAATTTTAAAAAGGTCAAGAAGGCTTCACGTAGCTTTTAAAGACCAGCTCTTCCCTAACATTCTAAACATTCTTAGGCAAAAACTGAGAACATCCATCAATACCTGCCCTAATGGAAACACTAAAGGTATTCTCTCACCTCAGCTCAATGAAGCTAGAAATCAATAACTAAAAATATTTATATGATGGAAATGAGAAAACAGACTTCTGTGTAACCCAGGGATCAAAGAGGAAATTATTACAGAAATTAGAAAATATTCCTGAACTGAGCATAAGAAAAATACTGCATGTCAAACTTGTGGCAAGCTTAGAATGAAACTTACAGCCTTAAGTATATTTATGTAAAAGATAAAAGTTGAAAGTTGGTTATCTAAAATTATGTCAGAAAGGTTAGAAAAAAAGAATAGCAAACTGAATACAAAGAAAGTATATGGATGGAAATAATAACAGAAGCAGAAATTAATGAAAGATACCAACAATGCCAAAAGCTTATTCTTTGAAATTTTCAATAAAATTGAGAAGCTTCTTGAAAAGATGAGCAAATGAAGAGTGAAGATACAAATAATCAATATCAGGAGTGAAAATGAGAACAAAATTACAGACTTGAACAAGACCCAAAGAGAATACCATGAACAATATTGTACCAATAAACTTGAAAAGTTAGGTGAAGTGTGTAAACAAATTCCTAGAAAAATTACTATCACTGACACCAGAATAGAAAATACAAGATTCATAATTAACCTATAATTCAAAACCTTCCAATACAAAAATTCCATGTCCAATTGGCTTCACTGGTAAAATCTATTAAATATACAAGCAAGAAATCATATAAATCTTAAATGAATTCTTCCAGAAATAATGATAGAGGGAACACATGTCAATTTATTTTAAGAGATCAGCACAAACTTGTTATACGAACTTGACAAAGGTATTGCAAGAAAAGAAAATAATAGGCCAATCTTCTTCATGAATATCAGTGAGGAAATACTAAACAAAACACAATACTAGCAAACTGAAGCCAGAAATATAGGAGAAAGAACAATCTATCAAAATTTAGAAGTGCAATGTTAGTACAACAGGTTACTGGAAAAACAACACTATAGATGCACATTTCAATGTGGAAAAGCCTTGCTGCTTTAAGGAATTAATTGTAAAACAGGTGAAGCTGGTCCAATTATCTTGCTTACAGATGAAAAATTTGCCACCCAAGAACCCACAGTAGAGGTGGTAAATTCATCTGCTTCTGATTCCTTTTCTTGGCCCACTGTTGGGAGGTTGGAGTGTTTGTAGAACATGTGTTATCTCTCTGACACCTTTACTTCCTTCTTGCCTGATCAGCCCCGGCCACCCAGTGGATGGGCCAGTTTAGGAGAGGAACTTACCTCGGACAGGTAGGACGTCCACCCGCTCTCATCGTCAGGCCTCTTTGAGTAGGAGTTAGAGAAGACGACATCCTTCACCAGTACGGCCACAGCTTTCAGAATGAACGACGCAAACAAGTTCATGTGGATGTAGTTGCGAGTACAGTGGAGTTTTCTATGCAAAGAGAAAAACCGAGAGCCTTCCCTCAGCAAATAATGGCTCAGATTGGTGGGTGCATGCCTGACCTGCCTAAAGAAAGACGATTTACAGTGCAGGCTCCAGAGCTGGGCTGAATTAGGTGATCTTTCTTCTCTGGGCCTCATCTGCCCCATGTATAAAATGGAGTAATAATAGCTTCCCCTGTGCGACTGCTGGCCATGCCAGGCCATGTTCCAGCCCATTTATACCCGCAGGGACTTTCAGGTATCCTTACTCCTTGTGACCATCAGAGGAGAAGCTACTCTCATCTCACTGAAACAGAAAGTTAAGCTGCCTATCCAAAGTCCCAGAGTAGTAAGTGGTAGAATAAACATGCAGACCTAAAACCTCTTAGGCCAAAGTAAGGCTCTCTAAGACTGTACAGCCTCTGGGGTTGACAGTGTCTATCTTCAATCAGTTAATTCTTGTAAAGTGCATGTAATAAGTGCCCCCAGAAAATGCCAGCTAGTCCTACCTGTCTGGAATGTTCTTCTAGCTCTCCAGCATACAGGCTGATGAGACACTGAACATCCTGTCTCTCTAACCTGAAGACTTTTCTTGTGCTTTCTGAGCAAGCTCCTACCCCATCCTCCTTTGCTTGAAAGCTATTGCCACATTTTTTACTTCTGAGGCATGTTCTTGTGTTTTGCCATGTATGCATGCTCCCTGACTAGACCAGAAGAGATTTGAAGGCAGGGACTTGCTCATGTTGGAAACTGAGGCAGTACAGACACTTAACCAACCCAGACTCAGAAAAAGGAGCTTCCTTCAGGGCCAAACAGTTATTTTCTTCTGGCTGGGTTCTGGGACTTTGGGAAGGTATGTGGGGGGACATCACAGATCATCATGAGCACAGGCTGTAGAATTCTCCTGTAGCTCAAGTAGCTTTTCCAGGAAGGTGTTGAATTTGCTCCTGGAGCCACAGAAAATCCTGGAATTGAGAATTCAAATGAATCCCAGCCTGGGCTAGTAGAGTCCAGGTGAGGAGCTTCTCTGGGACTAGCAGCCAGGTCTCCAGAGTCCCCAACCAGGCCCCCTGCATCGGTGCCATATATGCTCATTCTGCCTGGATTTTCCTCACTTATTGTCTTCAATGGGCTGAGACCAAGGGACAGCTCTGGAGGGCTCCCTGGTGGCTCCATCAGTATCTCACTTGAGTGAGGACTAAAAATGCAATTTGGTAATGCATTCAACTTTTGGATTCTGAAAGAGAGTACAAGGGAGTGAAAAATACTCAGGCCCTGAACTGCTTGGCTGTGAACCTGGCTCCATCACCGGCTGAGGTAGCATTGGGCAAGTTACTAGGTGTGATGGAAAAGTACAGTGAATATTTAAAATAAAGAAAGAATTCTAGTAAAAGACCCATTGCCATTAATCCCTTTCAAAATACTCGCCCTTGCTTCTAGCACACTCATGCCATTGCTATTGTTACTGTACTGTGCTGTAGCTGCCTTGATGTCTTGAATTGATTCAAAACTTTTACCTCTCATGGTCATTTTTTACTTTGGGGAAGAGCCAGAATTCACACAGTGCCAGACCTGGTGAATAAGGTAGACTGGACACACCATAATTTTTTACTAGTCTGCCTTTCCATTTGGATGGCTTTCAGCAGCAGCATTCACCATCTTTTTCTTTTATCACACTTAATAAAGTCATTCATGAAAGAGAACTCCAAGAGCTGCTTCAGAAAGCAGGAAGAACTATGAGATAATTGTGTTTGAAGAGAGAGGGAGATTCTGAGGGGTATTAATGGCAATGGGTCTTTTCTGGTAATAAATTTTTGTATTTACACATTCATCATATATTTTGACCCCGCTTGGTACCTCATCTCTCCATGGTTCAGTTCATGCACTTATAAAATGGAGCAATAATAGTAGTAACCTGCTAAGATTATAATTAATCTTAATTCAATTGGGATGAGACTTAAATGAGTTAATGTACATAAAGTGCTAGGAGGAAGCACTTCAATAATTGATAGATAGGGCCCTGGATTAAAATCCCAGCTCTACCACTCACTAGTCTTGGGGAAATTTCTTAGCCCTTTGTTTGGTCTGTGGTATTACTGGGTGTGATCAGGAGTTAAGGCCCTGGCTGCTTGGTTGTGGAAACACAGAAGATATCAAATGCCAAAGGTAGTGTCAGGAGTCCTGGATTTAGGTCCCACATGGGTGACCAACTGGCTTTAGGGCCAGTAGCAACTCGATGCCTCTCACCTGTACTTAGATACTTATTTCTTCCCATCCATCAGCAAAATGGGTGGACACACTCAGTGCTCTCTCAGGCCACTTCCAGCTTTGATGTTCCATGACATCCTGTGGCCCTGTCTTCTATGGCCTTGTAGAGGCAGCCATTGAGTAAATTATATGACACATGCATGAACCTGTATGTCAGAAGTTCTACTCACCGAAGAAACCAGAGGAGGCTGAGAGCCAGGAAGAGGGAGATAAGAGAGAGGGAGTATCCCACGGTGTACATCAGCTGCAAGGTTGACAGCAAGGCATAATGATCCACCTGAACACAGAGGAAGAGCTGACATGACACCAAGACAAGGTCTACAACCCCCAGCTTATGCCTAGGTCCACCAAGACTCTAGGCAATGATGGAGACTTGCTGCAGTTTCCCAACATGTTTAAAACCTTTCCTTCCTTGTCCATGCAGACACCTAAGTAGGATGTCGTAGGCTGCCCTCTGGCACATCTCAGAGACCTAGGAGCCTCAGAGAGTGGAGAGCCCGCAGTGGGGCTCACCCCCATGGCAGGGCCTACAGCCCAGAAGTGATGTTCCAGGAGTTACAATATCATAAAGGAATTGGGTCCAGGACAAGAGGGACTTGGAATGAGGACAGGCTCTCTGTCCCTGGGTAACTGTCCCTGGAATCTGTGGGCCCTTCTCCCTGGAGGACAGAGCCAGATTTATGCCTGGGTGACTCCCTCATAAATTAATTTTTCATAGATGTCTTCTTAGAGGAAGACCCAATAGATTAGTTAAATATTTTAAGCACCAAGATAGCTTGAATGGGACAAAAGGATCATTTATTGGAAAGCCGTGTTACTGTGGTTTTCCAAGAGTCCTATCTTCTTGTTTAATCCATCATATATATTACTGTCAAAGAATGTTTCTTTTATTTTTCCTTCCTTCCTTCCCTTTTTTTCCCCCTTTTTTACAGTACTTGGTATTGAACCAAGTGACTTTGCACTGAGCTACATCTCCAGCCCTTTTCTATTTTTTATTTTATTTTATCTCCTATCAAAGAGATAGACTCTTGCTAAATTGCTGTTATCCTGGTTAACCTCAAACTTGTGCCTGCCTCAGCCTTCCAGAGAGTACTGAGATTAAAGGCCTGTACCACCACACCTCAAGGTTATGTTTCTTTTCTTTTCCTTCCCTTCCCTTCTCTTCTCTTTTGTATCACAAAGCAAACTCAGGGCCTAGAGCTTGCCAGGCAAGTGCTGTGCCACTGAGTTACACCCCCAGCCCTATGGTTATGTTTTTTTAAAAGCTTTTGTACAAGAAGCCATGATAAATATGTAGTAGGGTTGTTTTTTTTTTTAATCCAGTTGTTTTGGTTATCCTAGGTCCTTTGGATTTTACAATCATCTTGCAGATTTCTACAAAATTATGTTGAAAGTTTGATTGAGATTGCATTAAAACTATGGGCCAATTTACAGAGATTGGCATGTTAACTATATTAACCCCCAAAACTTGACATATCCCTCCATTTTAGTTAAGTTTTCTTTAATTTCGCTCAGCTGGATCCACCTACATCATCCAAGAAAATCTCTCCGTTTAGAATCCTTAACTTATTCACATCTGGAAAGTTCCTTTTATTACACAAAATAAATATTCACAGCTTCTAGAGTTTAGGACATGGATGACTTGGGGAGCTGTTATTCAACCTTTCATGTCATCACATGATTGAGAAAGTTCTCTTTTAACACCAACAGGCTGAGAACTTTGTCACAGATGGAAGTTGAATTTTGTCACCTGCTTTGAGAATCTGTTACTAGATATTCCTATTTAGCATTGATATGGTCTCCTGGTAAATTTATTTCTTCATTATTATGAAGTTATTCTCTGTATCCCTAGTAGTGGTCACTACATTGAAGGCTATTTTGTCTAAGTATAGCCATTCTTCCTTCCTGGCATGGAATATCTTTTTCTTCATCTTTAAATTCTGACCTAAGTCTTTAAGTTTAAAGTAAATGTCATGTAGATAGCATATAGTTGAGCTTTGCTTTGTTTTTATTTGGGTTTTTGTTTTGTTTTGTTTTGTTTTTGGTACCGGGGATTAAACTCAGGTCCTTGTGCTTACAAGGCAGGCAGAAGAACCACTGAGCTAAATCCCAGGCCTCTTCTTTTTATTCTTAATTAAGCCTGAATATTTCTGTTAATTGAGGCATTTAGATCATTTACACTTCATGTGCTTATCTGATTGAGTTTAAATCCATTAGGTTTCTCTTCATTCCATACTTTCTTTATTCATTCACATTTTTATGCTATATTTTCTCCTTCATGATTCATTAATGACTTCTTATTCATTGCTTTGCTTTTTAGTGGTTGCTTTAAGGTTTATACAGTACACTTCTAATTTATTCTAGTCTACCCTTAAATAATATTTTATCACTTACTGTATGGTTTGAAAACTTTACAACAGCAAAACAAACAAATGAACAAACAACAAAAAATGAAGAATCTTACAAAAGTAAACTACCATGCCCTCATATTGGCCTTTTTGCTATTATGGTTACACATTTACTTCAACATATATATAGACTGCATAATACATTATTGTTCTCTGTCCTTTTATATAGACCAAAATGTCCACGGGGTACATTTTTTCTTTCTGAGTTAAAGGTTTCCTTTAAATTATTTGTAATGGTGTCTTGGATGCAGAAATGTCTGTATAGATTTTGAGCTTTTCCAAATCATTCCCAATTACATTTCCACCTAGAATTATTTTCTGTGGTCATCATCAGGATCCTGGAAATTCTACCAGGTCTCTAATCGCTCTTGTTTGTCTTTCCTCCTCTAAGATGAGCACAAACATGCCTTTTACAAGTCCTCCTGGAACTCCTCTCTGCTTATTGTCAGCTCTTATTATAAAAGTACTTGTAGACCATTTAGCTGACTGGGGCATCAATTATCTTATTCATTAATGTTTTGTTTGTATTCATCTTGTCATTCCAAGGAAGTGATAAACATCTTGAAAGTAACGAAGTGTTTCATGGTTCTACAGAGTGGTGTTTCCTAAAAACTGACAATTCAGGCTGCATATCAAGACTTTACTGGGTCATTTTGATAACATTTATTGTATTGGATACATGAGACTAATGATTTAATTAAATAACCTAATTATCTCTGAGTTATTTCCAAGAATATATGTGTGTGTGTTATGCTTTCTAGGAACAAATTAAGGGAACTGTTTGGGTTTTGTCTGGGTCTTAGTTTGGATTTCTAAGAAGCAGATCCTCAGCCAGATGGAATGGAAATAGTTTGCAAGGAAAGTGAAAAAACTCATCAACTGGGGAAAGGAGATTTAGGACACATAAAGTGTGCACCATTAAGCCATTTAGCACAGTGGGAACCTGGAGTTTAATCCCACCAGGGAAGCTCTGGAAATGCCAGGCTGCACCACCCCAAGACCCTGGGGGCTGGCCAGTCACTGTTTAAGAGTCACTCCCAGTGGCATGTCTGGCCTGCATTTTACTTGGCAAAGTGAGCTCCAGGAAACAGAGAACCAGCAAAGAAGTGCACGTGCTAGTGATAAGAAGTTAGGCAGCAGTATGCTGAGACAATCTGGCCAGAGCACCATCGGACTTTTACAGTGGATTTAACTGTGTTTCTTTGGAGGCTCTTCTTCAACTGTATCTACCAAAACCTGCCACTTCCTTACAGGCTCCAAAACATCCAGTCTTCAGCTCACTCTTAGTACCAACAGGTAAAGTCTAAGTCTCCTAGACACCTTTCTGAAATGCCATTGTGTAACAGGCATCTGACATGGAAACTGGCACCCATACACTGAGGAAGGGAGGGTGAAGTGGTCTAATTCCTATGGGATTACACTTACCAAGTTATTCACCGCAACATTTTGGGAAGACAAATTTGGAAAAATCCAAATGTCTGTAGCCTGAATAAACTATGGTAGACACGTGGGTGAAATACAGTACAGCTGTAAAAACACATCTAGGAAATGATACACAATGATTTCCAGGATATACTACTAAATGAAAAACAGACACATGAAAAGGTATCTGTTATACTGTTTTCTTTGAAAGAAAAATGGGAAATAACATATTTATGTATTTGCTTGGCTTTGCAAAAGGAAACACAGACAGGTATTATAATTCAATTAAAAGGAAAAAAAGAAAGAAGGCAGAGAAAGATGAGCCAAAAAATAATAAAAATTATTGTGTGTAGAGGTAGGTAGGAAGAGAGCAGAGGACATGGTGATGAGATCAAGCTGTCTTTTTACACAGTTCTGGCTTTCAATCCTTTCCAATATCTTATGTATTAAAAAATAAAATTAAAGAGAAAAGGGTGAAGGGCAAAACTTTTAAAGTTATAGAAACAAACAGAAGACTATAGTAAATCTATAAGATGAATATGAACAGAAAATAATGATTTCAAACAATTATGAACGTAATACTCTGTCCTTAATATACAGCCTGAAGGGAAAAAAAATCTTAACATTTACCAAGTAGCTTTATATCTTCAGGGGCAGTTTTGATATTTAATTTTGAGACTATTTTGCATGCCTTGTGGGAAAAGATAATAGTTCTAATACTACCATTAGGAAGTAAAATTTCACTGAAAAGGAAAAGAAACGCAAATACAAAGTAAAAGAAAGTAAACAAAAATCTTAAATGACAAATTTAAGTCAGAATTGTCAATACAAAGTCTTGACTAAAATTTTTTTTTCTTCTCTGGTGTGAATAATCTGCAATAATACAGAAGATCCTAATAAGATTACTGACATTTAGAAATGGGAAGAAAGGAGCTAAAGGTGTAGGGAAGTTGGGATGGGTAGGGGAAGAGTAAAAAGGGAAAAGAAACAAATGTGAGAGAATGAAAAGATGAAAATAAAGTGTTTGTAGATGGGGAGGGGAGGAGGGGGTGAAGGGAGGGCAGAGGTAAGGGGAAAAAATGAGAATCAAGACTTGTCATGTAGAGGTACAAGATCCCAACAATGAATGTAACTGTACTGTATCCCTAAAATGTACCAATAAACTCAATTAAAGCTGAAAACAATTTTTTTTTCTTTAATGAATTTTAAAACACAGATGGGACTTTGTTAGGGAGTAAGATGAACACAGGGTACCAAAGTATTACCCCTCTGATTACTTGTCAAATACAGAAGTAGAAGCGTAACTTTATCATGGAGATATCTGTCTGTCCCTGCTGTGAACAACTGATTCCACGTGGCACTGTTCTAGTGTGACGTCTGCCACTCTGGTCCACTGGAGTGATACTCTACCAGGTATACAGCACCAGGAGCATTTAACTGGAATCTC